CCACCAGGGAGGGCCTCTAGATGCTCTTTTACCAACTCTGTTTTCCAATTCCATTTACCACCTTCTAATAAATTGTGCCACTTTTAATTTTGCTTGCTTCTCCCCACTAATAGAAGTCCTTGAACACAAAGATTTTTTTATATGTTTTGGTCACTGATGGATGTACCCACACAAAATCCAAAAGAGCACCTTATATGTTGTAGTTACTCAAAAAATATTGATTGAATGAATAAGGCACTAAAAAATCTTGGCTAACAAGGGAGAAATGATACATTTAATAGAAAGTGCCCTTTTATACAGTAAATTATTCTTTTATAAACAAGAGAAGAATTTGCTCTTTAATTTCATCAGGGACCATAGTAAGGTACAACTATTAATGGTTTTTGTAATGTTATTTTTGTCTTATATAAGAAATTATTAAAATTTGGCTGCTTAAAACAACACACATGAAAAGAATCTGGGGCCTGCTTACAGATGTTCATAAGAGTGTGATCAAGATGTTGGAAGTAGGACCACGTAGAGGGAGGATTTTCCCTGTGGGCAGACTCTCCATAGGCCTACTCACTGCATGGCTATTTGTTTCCCTTTGAGCACCATCATGGAGAACTATCCATACAGAAAAACAGGTCTCTTATTATAACCTGGCCTCAGCAGTCACACAATTCTATCATGTTCTTTTGTCACAGAGGTCATGTGTATATGATGTAGGAGAGCCACTCTACAAATCATCAATAGGGCCATCATTGGAGGCTGCAACATTATTTTTGTCTATAAGATACTAAAAGATAGAAATGTGAAACTTTTTTCCTTCTCTTTCCTTGGCCCCAGGTATATATTTGCCTTGATTCTGTAGAAAACTGTAATCTGTTTAGCCAACATAGTGACACAGATGACAGTGGAGTCAGCTGGGAATCCGAGTTTGAAAGCCTTGATGAAGCCTTGCGGATATTTAATAAGAATATGGAGACATTTCCTCCGCTGACAGATTTTAGGACAGGTATACTACATTTCTGAGTGAAAACATTTTCTTAATAATTCATTGTTTCTAATGAAGTTGGGCTCTTCCTAATGTTAACTGATTGTTTTCATTTAAACTTTTTTTTTTAATTGAGTACCATTGTGTCACACCTTTTCCCAATGTATGTGCCCACACCTCAGCCACCACCAGGGCACCCATAGTCTTCCACCAAGTCCATTGATCTACCTCCACATTTGGTTCTTTACCCTTCTCTAGTAGCTTCAATTCTACAATGAGATTTCTACAATTTTTGTTTTCATTGAGGCAACATTAGTTGCCTCACACTCACCACCAAGGCACCCAGTTTTCCACTCTAGTCCACTGGGAACCCTCCACATGTTGATCTCCAGCATCCCTTCCCTCAATTCTACAAATTTTTAGGGTTTTTTTATCTGACCCTTTGTTTCTCTGCATTCCACATGGGAGACCATGTTAGCTGATATTTTATCACATTCATTTCATATGCATGACTTCTCTGAATCCTCAAGGTACTCTGAAGATCATTTGTATAAGTGAACTAAGAAAAAGTAACTTTCTTTGGATACTTTCACCTACATTGGAAAATTGACTACAGAAAGATGAGTTTTCTAAGCTTTAAGTTTTATCATTACATAAAATATGGCATTACTCCAAGTGACAGTAATTTTAACAACACCTAAACTAATAATTTAGGAATGGGATCATTTTGGAATAAACTAATAATTTTAATGATACACCACCTAAACTAATAATTTTGGAATGGAATTGTGTCCCACCTTATGAGGATAGTTCACATTCTGCTATAATTTTTTTTCTAATTCATTCTTCTTATTAAGTATATGTGAAGCTCCTGTGAGGGAAATACATTTAGTTACTGGTATTAACAATTCCACAGTACCAAGAGTGGTATCTATACATTTTTATCAGTATGCAATATAAGAGATGTAGCTTATTCTTGGATTTTGCACAAATCAAAGGATAAGGAAAACAGCTTATCTGATTTTCCTCAATGAGATTTTAGTTAGCTGTGACCCATGTTTTGGTTGATAAGGAGCACTCGCTATTACCTCTACCTGGAATGTTCTCCCACCAGGCTGTGTAGCAGCCACTGTAGTCTTCCCTGGCCCTATCAAGCAGCACTGCCCCCATTACTCTCCATCCTTCCATTTCCTGTTGTATATTGCACTAGGCAGAGACTTTGGTGTCACCAAAAGTGAGAAAGGCTCCTTGCTCAAGTAGGTGCTAATAAATATTTGTTGAATGAGCAGAATAAGCTCATTATGGACTTTTTTTAGTAAACATTTATAATGTAGAAGAAATAATTCCTGCCTCATTGTGTTCTTAAGGGAGGTCACACAATCTGTGAAGTGTGATAATTAATGGAGCTGTGTACTTTATTATACATTTTTCTTCAATTGAAGTTTTTTCAAGTTTGTATATTTGTAAGTTGATTCATAGGCAAATATGTATATTTAAATAAAGTCACATGAAGATTTTTCTGTGACTATGACAGCTATCACTTTTGAGGTGAAATTTAGTCACTTCTTAAGCTGAAAATGGACTAAAAGAATTTATAGCTGTTTACTGTGCTGACAACTCTACTAGATGAGATATTTTTTACTTTGTATGCTCAACAAATTGCTTACATCTCAAATAAAAATCATGAAATAAAAAAAGTACCTTAGAGTCAAGTACCATTTAAATGCCATTTTCTCACAACTCTACTTTCCCTTGTGGGATGTAGGAGAGCCTATGATAACATAAGGAATGGGAGGGTATAAGTAAAGCAAGATTCAATTTGAGGTATATTCATCTATTCTGAAACTAAGTGTATTAAGAGAAGGTAATGCTATGCTATTTTCATAATTTTACTGAAGCCTAGTATTCATGTACAAACTCTTTTTTAAGTGTTAAGAGTTTTCTTTTAATGAGACATTGGGTTTCAATGATTTAGAGGTAGAGATCACACAAGTGTGTGTGTTACACCCACCACCAAGCAGCCATACTCCTCTTGCACCTTCTTTCCACCATAAACAAACTTTTTATTGTGCCACACCCCACAATAAGAATACAAGCTCAGAACTGGTGGGCTAGCAGTGAAGGGCTTTGTGAACCTGGTATAGTTATGAAAACAACAGCTCAGATAAAAGGTAAGTGCCATAGGAACATAGAGGAAGCAATAAGGAGGAATCGGGGTTTTGTCAAGGTGATTTTGAAAACAGTATATATGTCTATTACAGATTTTTTAAAAAGCAGGGGGGAACACTCTAGATAGAGTCATGGTTCTATTTAGGTAACATTGAGAGTTTATACTAGGAATTGGCTGCAAACAGATTGTGAGAAACCTTATAAACTGCAGCACTAATAACGTCACATTGCAGATGATTGTTGCAGATGCCACTGAAGAATTTTTAAACAAGTAGTGTAATTGAATTTAAAAAAAAATTTATCCCGTGGCTTTATAAAGAATAGATTGGAAGATGATGAAATTAATTGCAGGAAAAATAGGCACTATATTGACATCCTTTGCATAAGATGATGGCCCAAATGAAAACAGATGTGGAGAGTTTAAGAGGTTGGGGCAGTGAAAGGATGGCCTAAGCTAATTAACTGGGAATTGAGAAGCAAGACATAAAAGCAACGTTTATAAAATAGGAACAGAACATAGCAGAAGCCAACCTATCACCATTTGTTGAATGTTTAATTCTAGTTGATAGGCTTATGGTTGCTATTTTCTTTTTTCTTTTCTACATTAAAAACATTTTAAGAAAATAAAAGACAATGCAATTTTCCTTTTTTCCAGAAATGCCTTGCCTTGCAGAATATGATGATGGCCTATGGTATAGAGCAAAAATTGTTTCCATTAAAGAATTTAATCCTCTGGCTGTCTTGGTACAGTTCGTTGATTATGGATCAACTGAAAAGCTGACAACAAACAGGTGGTGGTTTCTTTTTTTAAAGTTAACTTAGCTGAATTAGGAATTTTAGTTTTCATTTTTAATATAGTTATTGGGATTTTGCTTTTAAAAGAGCTTTCAAATGATTATTTTTAAAGATCTTTACATATTAGGAGTTAAGTTTTTAAAATTTGGTAAAATATGTATCACAGAACTTATGGGGCTTAGTCACTTTTAAGTATACAGTTACTCGGGGCTATCACCACTGTTCATATTCAGGATATTTCATAATCCCAAACAGGTTCTATACCCATTTAACAGTAACATTCCATTCCCATTCTTCCAGTTTCTGGTACCTCAGTTCAACTTTACCCATATGATTTGCCTATTTCACGCATACACACACACACACACACACACACACACACACACATATCAAATATATACAAGTAATCTTGCAATATTTATCCTTTTGTGTCTGGCTTCATTTTACTTAAAATAATGTTATCATTGATGTTTTGTTCAATTGTATCATGTACCAGAATCAATGGCTATATGATAATTTTGCCATAAATACACTTTATCCATTCCATGGACATTTGAGTTGTTTCCATCTTTTGTTTATTAAAGCTGCAAGGAACACTGATACACAAATACCTGTTTGAGTCCCTGCTTTCAGTTGTTTTGGATATATAATAGAATTACTGGACCATATGGTAATTCTGTTTAGTGTTTTGAGGAACTGCTGAACTTTTTACACTTTACATTCTCACCAGCAATTCACAAGTGTTCCAATTTCTCTACTTCCTCGACACTTGTCATTTTGGGGTTTTAATGTGTAACATTTTCTTTGTGGAAAAATAAAACATCTTAACTATTTTTAAATATATGTTTCAGTAGTGTTTAATGACACATTATTTTGCAAACAATCTCCAGAACTCTTCATTTTGGAAAACTGAAATTCTGTACACACTACACACTACAGAACCCTCCCTTCATCACATGCCACCCTTCTGCTTTCTGTCTCATTAAATTTGACTATTGTGGTTATCACATATAAGTGGAATCATAAAATACTTAACTTTTTGTGACTGAATCATTTCACTTAACATAATACCTTCACATTTCATCCATATTGTAGTATGTATCAGAATTTTTTCCCTCTTAAACCTGAATAATACTCTATCATTGTACATACTTATTCTTTCATCTACTTTGAATTATACCAATTTTTCGCTATTGTGAAATGCTGTTATAAATATGGGTGTACAGCTGCCTTCAAGACAATTTAAACTCTCGTGTTTTTATTCAGAAGTGAAATTGCTGGATCATATGCTTATTTATTCTAATATTAGTATTTGGAAGAACTGCCAAACTGTTCCATAAAGTTTTGCCATTTTGCATTTTCACCAAGGGTCCAAGAATTCTAATTTCTCTGTATAATCTAGCATTTGTTATTTTCTGGTTTGTGTATATGAGATGTATGCAAGCGTGTGCTTGCACAACAGTGGGAGCAATGGAGAGACAGTAGTGGCCATGAAGTGCTAGCTCAGTGCTAGCTCCCGCATCTTCATTTTGCATTTTCCTGACAATTAGTAGTATGAAGCACCTTTTCATGTTTATTGGCTTACAGATCTTTAAAGAAGGCCTGTTTATAAATGAATATATCCTGAGTTTGCCAATTCTGATTGTACCCTTTGCACATTTTAAATTTTGACATAATCCAATTTATGCTTTTCTGTTGTCTGTGCTTTGGTATTCCAAAAGTTATTGCTAAAGTCAATGTCATAAATTCTATCAATTTAGCACACTTAAAAATATATAGCCTTGGCCCTTCCTAGTGTCGCCGCAGGTTGGAGCGCTGCACTGTGGAGCTAAGCCAAGCAGTGGCAGCTTCAGAGTTCGATCCCTGCCCTGGAGGTGATCCTCACAGTGCAGCAGACCTCTCCTGACCTGCCCCCTGCTCCCCTCAGCAGTGTACTGCCTGTTCTGCTCTCCAGTCTCTTTCTGGTGAATCCTCTTGCAGCCCCTGCACCTCTGGCTATACCCCCATTTCTACATGCATAAATAAATCTTTAAAATATACATATCCATTTTTTGCATGTTTTATAGTTTTAGGTATTAAAGAATCTTACGACACATTCTGAGCTAATTTGAGACTTTCTTTTGTGACAGACTGCGTCAAATTCCTCTTCACCTTATGCAGTATCCAGCCCGAGCCATAAAGGTTCTCTTGGCAGGGTTTAAACCTCCATTAAGAGATTCAGGAAAGACAAGAATACCATATTGTCCCAAATGGAGCATGGAAGCATTATGGGCTATGATAGACTGTCTTCAAGGAAAACAACTTTATGCTTCTTCCATGGTAAATTATTCATTATAATCTTTATTTCAAGGCTCTCTATTCCTGAAGTGTCTGTGCAACTCTAGATGTAAAAATAACTTCAAGCATATAAAGCCATAAATACTGTAGGATTAATTTAAGACTTGCTCAAAATATATCTTAGTTTATATTTAACAAACTTTTTATTAACCCCACAACAGATTGATGTAATTAATGGACTAAGATTATCAAGATGAGTATTCTGTAATCAAGAAATTTCTAAGTCAATGAGGGAAACATGAATCACTAATTAATACAGGGTCAAATGAAATAAGTACTATAAAAGTGATATAGTAATTTGGGGAAGGAGTGCAAGGAAGAATGGTTATTTCTGTCTTGAGATCAGATGATGGTCTTTGAGTTTTGTAGGTACCCAAGTACTTTTTGAATAAGGATGAGGAAGGCCATTTGAGCTGTATCCTAAAAGTTGAGTAGGAAAGATCAGAATGGGAATTGTGATCAAAGTTATAGAAATGCATCAATATGAAACTTCCTTCCTTTAGAGACATAGCAGGTCACAAAGGAGCAGTCCACAGGCAGATCTGGCTGCACCCACATTTGAGTGCAGTGTTTAAAATTGGAAATTTTTACTAAAAGCTTTGGTATTTCTAAACTCTGCTAAGCAAACTAAAAATAGGAATTCCAAGATCTCCCTTCCAAAATAGCAGTCAGCTGGAGTGTATAGCAACAACCCCTCTAGAAGAAAACATTCTTCTATTCACCGTAGTCCACCTATTGTTTTGGGGTCTCTAATAGCACTGGCTGTGCAAAAATTGAGTTTGTTTTTTTTTTTTTTAAGATTTATTCATACAAAACTGGGGTAACAAGCCAGAGGTGTAGGGGTGATGAGAGGCTTCATCAGAGACAGAGTGAGGAGCAGAACAGGCAGATGGGTGAAGTACACTGCTAAGGGGAGCAACGGGTGGGTCAGGAGAGGTCTGCCGCACCTTGTGAATCACCTCAAAGGCCAGGGATCAAACTCTCACTGAAACAGCTGCAGCTAGCTTGCAGTGCTAAGTCCTAACCCATTGTGCCACTAATGACACAATGCTATTAATAAAAAGTGCCATTTGAAAACTTCTGTATCATGCCCCTGTGCAGAGTAGTATAAATAGTTTATATAAGGTTTCTTGAAAGAAGTCAGTGAAAATACAGAGCAAATGTTTTATTCATATTCAAATTTTGTTCAGCTTATACATAAATATATGCTTTATGTTAAGTGAATTTTAGCAAGGAAGATAGTTTGATCCCAGTGGTTCCACTTAGGAAACGTTACATTTGGGGAAGAGTTACATTTTAAATAAAGAAGAAGAATGGGATTTAGCAGAGAGTGAAACCATCAAAAATACCTTTTGCAAGTTTATTATGGATAAATTTAGCATGTTTTCCCTCCTGTCTGATGTCAGCCAAATGTAGGAAGGAAAAGGCAGCAAAGCATTATTGTGTTTTGTTTTTTGATAATTACTTTTCATTTTAGGCTCAGGCACCAGAACAAATAGTGACTTTATATGAAGATAATCAGTATCCAGTTCATATGTCACTAATAGAAATGGGGCTTGCAGACCAAGATGAATAATGTAAGTATTATGACCACCTTCACTCTGTAGTTAGCATTAAGGCATGTGATTAACATAGCAGAGATTAATGCTAATTGTCCAAAATGCATCTTTGGACTTTCCTTGATTTCTCAAAGGAATCACAACAAAATTCAACAGAAATTTCTCTTCTAGATTTTCTTCCTATTCCCTTCTACTTAATAAACACCAATACCAAAGAGGTCCCTTATCTGTAAGAATATTTAGAATAACTGTAATATTTATAGCACCAAAAAGGTATGGGGATAAGCAAAAGTGCAGATGATAATCTAAGCACATGTGGTATGCTATCAAGTGCTATATATCAAGTAGCCAATGTCTTTAAGAGCAAAGTTATTAAAGTTCTTGGGTAACCAGCTGATTTCTTTGTTAATTTTTATTAATGTATATAAATGTAGCAGTGACTTATTAACTATATTTGAACACCAACATTAAGCAAAGGTAAAATGACATGCATTTTGTTTTTCAGGTATACAGTATAGAGCACCTATAGCAACCCAGAAGAATTTTTTGTTACATTTAGACCATTTCAAAGTTAATTTCTTGACTACTCCTGCAGTGGTGCTTCTTTTGTTAACTTTTAGAATTTTTTTTAACTTAGAAATTGGGGAACTTGATAATAAATGTTTCTGAAATATTTTCTTGTTCTACTGTTATTTGTAAACTAAATACCTTAGGGAAAAATATTTTAGTCCATTGTATAATTAATATTTATTCATTTCAAGAAATAAGACATCATCTATAAAATTGTAGGGCCCTATAGTCCTATGAACAATCTGTTGTGAATTTAGTGTTAATCATTCTTATAAACATTATAATGTATGGATGCATTCATAAACAAGGTACTGGGATTTAACAGCACTATACATATTTTTAATCTGAACTTTCACAATTTCTTTCATTTTCTCATTTGTGCTATTTACCCATGTTAATATACTGTTTTATTCACTTTCATCTTATATTCATCTGTAGAATTTATTCTATTGCTAGATATTTATGTTGTTATCAGCTTTTCTCAATTATAAATATTCCTCCTATACACCTGGTGTAGGTGAAGATTTCCTAGTATATTTATTTAGTAGTGGAATTTACTGTTAATGGAGTGTAGTTTCTTCAAAAAAATTGTAACAACTTACTCCACAATCAGTAGTCTGAATTTGTTGCCAATATATAGTATGACAGAATATTATTGGCAAGAATATAACATTTCAAATGAAATATGAAAGGATACATGTTAATATGCATTCACTGGTTTAGCAGAGTTAATCACTTGTTGTTTGTTCACATGCGGTTGTGAACAATTTATCTATTGAGTTCCTTACTGCTTTATGAGAATTATTTGTATGTTCTGGATGTTAATCCTTTGTCAGGAATATATCTTCTCCCACTCTGTGGTTTATCTCTTCTCTTTTTTTGTGGTATTTGGACAAACTTTTCACTCATTATTTTCAGGTTTATGCTTCCTATGTCTTAAAAACCCTCTATTCTACAGTAACTCTTTGTTGTCCTTGAAAAATATTAAGAGTTTTTCATACTTAGTTTTTAAATCACCCAGAATTGATACATGGAGCTTTTATTTTCTGAGTCATTGCCAAGACTTGACATATTATATAGGCTGTAATAATTATATAAATACACATGTTGGTGACTTGCCTTCCTTCTGGCAGCCTACCATCCTACACTGATTTTTTCATGTCACATCTATTCTAAGTATAAATACTTTTATGAGATTATCTGTAAGAATAATACCATTTTACTATTCAGTCTAATTGTACTGATTGTTTTAATTTTCCATTCTATTACAAGAAAATGTAGAACAAAAAAATGCTTTTAATTTTGTTACAACTGAAGATAGTAATATGAGGAGGTTGGTTTGATATTTATTTTCTACACATCTTTATTTTTTGACAGTGTAAGATTTCTCCTACCAGGTATGATCACTATACTTTTGCCACGACCAAAGTGCAAACAGTGCTCAATCACACTCTTCTACCATGTTCTCTGCTACCCCCCTCTACTAGCCTCTCCCCTCCTGATTCTCACATCTGTAGTCTGCTATCAAGAGTGAATCTCACAGTTTGTCTTTTTCAGACTCTTTACTTGGTTTCTCCAGATTCCAAATATAGGTAAAACCATCCAGAACTTATCTTTCTCCTTTTAGCTCACTTTGCCTAGAATAATCCTTCCGGTTCCATCCATATTACCACAAATAACATGAGTTTATCTTTTTTTGATCACTGATTAAGTATATATACCATATCTTCTTGATTACTCATCTGTTCTGGGGCATTTAGGCTGTTTCCACATAGGCATGCAAGTTCCCTTTACAATTTGTATTTTATGATCTTTGGATATATACCTAGTAATGGATTGCTGGGTCATATAGTAAATCCATTTTTAGCCTTTTCAGAAATCCCTGCACTTTTTTTCTAAGGATGGACCAGTATACTTTCTAATCAGCAGTGTTAAGAAATTTTTTCCCGCTAAAACCCTCACCAGCACTTGTGGTTTGTGAAATTTATTATTATTTATACATCACTGTTCATTTTTGTAACTGTATGCTTTCTTCTCTTGGGTGTAGTGCTAATAGAATTACTACCACCAATTCACCCATGCACTATCACCATAGTTCCTTCTTCCCTCCTCTGTTTTGATCCCTCTCCCTCCATCTCCTCTGCAGATGTCTCCGACTTATAGTTGTCTATGAACTTTGGCTTTTGTTTTGGGGAACGTTTAGATTAGTTTCACTTTCACTACTTATAATTGGTCCTTTTGGGGTTTTATTAATGTTTGTTATACTTCCTTGGAAATTGCTATTGGGATTGCACTGAATCTGTAAATTGCTTTAGGAAAAGATGGTAATTTTGACAATGTTTAGTCTTCCAATTCATGAACAAGGTAAATCTTAACATTTGTGTCTTCCTCTATTTTAATAATATTCTATAGTTTTCCTTATAAAGTTCTTCCTACTTTGGTTTAATTTTGCGTGTGAGAGAGACATAAATGGGATGGCTTCTGTAATTTCTTCTAATTCACTATTTGTCTATTGGATGGTAACTGATTTTTCTGTTTATTTTCTATCCTGCCACTTTGATGAACTGGTTTAATATTTCAGTTACTTTTTCTATGGAGTCCTTGGGATTCTCTTGTCATCTGCAAATAATGATAGCTTTGCTTCTCTAATTTTGATTCTGTTTATGGCCTTCTTTATCTAACTGCTCTAAGTAGAACTTATAATACTATGTTAAATAGTAGAATTTAGAGTGGACATCCTTGTCCCAGATCTTAGTGGAAAAGCTTTTAGTATTTTGCCATTGAGAATGACCTAACTGTAGGTTTCTCATATATGGTTTTTATTATGCTATGTTCCATTTATCCCATTTTCCAAACATTTTTATCCTAAATACATGCTGAGTCTTATCAAATGCATTGTCAGTATCTATTGATATGATCGTTTTTTTTTTCCTTCTTTCTGTTGATGTGTTGTGTTACACTGATAGATTTTTGTATGTTGAACTATCATTGTGTTCCTGGTATGAAACCCTTTCAATGCATTTTTTTAATCAGTCTGCTAAGATTTTATTAAGGATTTTTGCAACTGTGCTCATTAGACTAGTGTGTAGTTTTCTTTGTGTTGTCTTTGGTGTTTAGAGTAATGTGGCCTCATGCAATGTGTTTAAAAGAATTCCATCTCAATTTTTTGTAACGAGTCTGAGCAGTATAGATATTAGTTTATCTTCAAGGTAAGAACTTGCTTGTGAAGCTATCTTGTCCTAGACTTTTGTTTTTGTGTGTTTTGAACACTGTTTCAATTTCCTACTTGGAATTGGATTGTTCAAATTTTCTCTTTCTTCCCTATTCGGTCTTAGATGATTGGATAATTCTAAAAATCTGTCCATTTCATCTAGGTTGAATTTGTTTGAATATGAGTATTTATTCAGGTCTCTTATTACCGTCTGACTTTCTACACTGTCTCTTGTAACTTCTTTCATTTTTGATCCTATTTGAGTTTCTATCCTCATTTTTTGTAGCAATCCAACCTAGAAGTTAGTTTTATTTTTTCAAAGAGTCAGCTTTTGGTTTCACTTATCTTTTGGACTTTTATTTCTGCTCTAACTTTTATTATTTCCCTTCTTCTTCTGGTTGTTCTCCTCTTTTTCTAATTTCTTTGATAAGAAACAAGTTGTGTTTAGATTCTTTCTAGTTTCTTAATTTGGGCCTGTGATGGTATATACATCCCTCACAGAACTGTTTTTGCTGTATCTCAAACATTCTATTGTTTCCTCATTATCATTTACCTCAAGATAAGTTTTTTTATTTCACTTTTTATTTCATTATGCCTGTTGTCCTTCAGTAGTGTATTATTCAGTCTCTACTATTAAAGTATCCCCTGTTTATATAGTTCATTTGCAGCTCAGTCCTCTGCTGGTCAGAGAAGATAAGTAGGTATGATTTTTGTCTTCATGAATTTATTAATATTTGTTTTGTGACCCACTATGAGGTCATTCCTGAAGTATGACCTTGTGCACTTGAGAAAATGTGTATTTGGCATTTGGGGGTTATAGTCCCCTGTAAAGGTTTATTAGATACATGTGGTCTAGCTCCTTGTTTATAGTGACTATGTCATTGTCTCATTTACCTATTCATTATGAGACTGAGGTACTGAAATCTCCAACCACATATGTGTTTTCTCCAATGTCTGTTTTAAAATTTGACAGTAGTTTTGTGATGCATTTTTGTGCTACTTCATTTGGTGAGTATATATGTTTGAGTGTTATGTCATCCTGTTACAGTGTTCCCTTGATTATTATAGTGTCTAATCTTATATCTCATTACTTTTATAAACTGGAAGTCTATTTTGTCTGATAAGTATGTGACTGTTTCTGACTTCCTTTTGGTGCCATTTGCTCACTGGATTGTTTTCCATCCCTTTACTTTCAGTCTGTGTTTATCCTTATCTCTGGTGGCAGAGAAAATTGTTTCCTAACCCAACCTTATACTCTGGGTCTTTTTATTGGTGGGCTCAGACGGATTATTGACACTTATATGTCCTTCACTACCATTTTGTTCCTACGTCTGTGGTTTATTTAATTCCTTATTCAGTTCTTTTTGTTCATTCTCCTGTCTAGTTCCTAAGGCTGCTTTTAATATTTCTTAGAGGGAGAGTTTAATAGATGTATACTCTTGCTAAGATTTTTGTCTGAGAAGGTCCTTATTTTTCCATCACACAGGAAAGAAAACATTGCAGAATACTCTGGGCTGGGATATTTTTTCTTGAGGTATTTTGAATGTGTCATTGCATACTCTTCTTGTACTTAATGTTTCTTTAGAAGGATCCAACATTAGTTTAATTGATGTCCTTTTATTGGTCATTCCCTCCCCCCCCAGCTTCATTATTTTTTTGTCTTAAGACTCTTGAAAAATTCACTATATTTTGCTGTAGTTTTTTTATTTAGACAGCTAGTTGTTCTATTTACTTATATTTTAGGTTTAGTTCCTCTTTAAGTTTGGAGAGTTCTCCACTATTTCCCTAAATAAATTCTCAGTTCCCTTCTCTATTTCTCTTCTTTTGGGATTCCTATGATTCTTATATTTCCTTTCCTCATAGTATGAGAAAATCCTGGACTCACTCTTTATTCTTTTTTCTGTTGTTATTCTTTTCTGTCTCCTTTCATCTTTGAGAGTACTCATTAATTCTTCCATTTGAGTTATTCTACTTTCATGGCTTACTCCTGATATTTTGCTTCCATCTGTAAATCTTTCATTTTATTGCTTAAAATTTCAATTTCAACCTTCTGTTCATTGTGTTTCTCATAGTATTCATTTCCTTTTCTAAGTGTACTTTGCATTGTTCCCATTCTTTACCTTTCTTAATCATGGCCATCTTGATATCTGATACGTAGAGAAACTCTTCCATGTATTTGTGGTTTAGTTCTGGGGCTTTGTTTTCTCTCATGGTGTGCTGTTCCCTGGAGTGCTTGCTTGACCATTGATATTTTCTTTCTTTCCATAGCCTGCATTGGGTTTGCTCTGCTGAGGCTGGGGCTTTTGTTGTGTGTGGTCCTGTTCTCCTGCTGTCCTGGGAGTTCACTTAATTGTGGGACAACTAATAGGGTCTTGTAGGATGTGGGTTGATGCTATAGCCTCCCTCAAAGCACTTCCAGGCCTGTTCCAGTAGCTGGGAGGGTTAGGGAGGTGTGTCAAGAGGCTGAGTCATTGGGACCTTACCTTGTTCAGAAGTGGTAGCTCAGGATTGTTTCTGGTGGCCAAGGGTTGCTTAAGATCCATGATATAAGATGCTCAATGCAGCCTATATTGGGGCTTGAATCCGCTCATGCAGCACTGGTGGCTGAGCATTGAATGGGACGCAGTTTCCAGGTGCAGCTGAGGTCCCTCTTGGTATAAAGCTAGGCGCTTATAAGGTCCAAACTTGGGCTTACATCTGCTCCCAAGAAGCTGATGGCCTGAGTTAAAAACAAGGTGCTTAGTGGAAGTGTGAAGCCCAGGTCTGCTAGGAGGCACTGTTGGTTCAGAGATAATGGGATACATTTCTCAGGTGCAGCTGGGAGCCCATGATAAAAAGCTAGATCCTTCAAGCCCCAGTATAGGACTTGTATTTGCTCTCAGGGTGCTAGTGGAATGCACTTCCTGAGTGCAGCTTGGGGCTCAAAGTGAAAAAGTAGGCACTATAAGGCTCGTGTTTACTCAAAGGCACTAATGGCTGAACACTGAATAGAGTAGTATTTTTGACTACAGAAATGTTCTTATCCCCTAAGTAAACATTCTGTACAAGTCCTTGTCCTATGGCTGATGTACTGGTGGAAAATCCATGTGATATTCTAGCTACTGTGTTTATCAGGTTGTAGTAGGTTATAAAGAATACATAAATTTTTTTTTAGATCTATATGGTTTATATAACCAAATAATACCACCTTCCTTAATCATGTGGTTAACCATACAAAGACAGAAAAGGTGAATTTAAAATAAGCTATAAATTTTTATTTTAGAGTTCAAACATAATCTTCCACATGTACAAACACACGGAGTATAAATTCACAGAACCCACATGAATGTATAAGAAAATCAAGTTAGTGTTATTTCATGATTACTCACAAGGATCATTATAATTTTGTATCCATTAAAACATTACCATCCTTGTCTTTAACTCTTACTCGACCAGATGTGTATTTTGTTTCTTGATGACCATTCATATATACAGTTTTAACAGTACCATCTGGATATTCCCGTCTCTTGAACTGGGAAGTATGTAGTTCTCTCTGGCCATTATTAAACTCTATGATTTTGTTGCCATCTCTGTAAATTTAAAATAGAATTTCTTTAATAATGCAAAATGTACTCAAGGAAAACTACGTAAAAGTAGCCTTTTGATTCTGGCAATAATTTCTTCCCTAGAAACACCCCTTGGTTCATTTCCTTGAACAATACTTTTGCAAAATCTCTCCAGTATTTCTGCTGCAGGTGGATAGAATGAATGACTACACTAGCATTTATGTGCCCAAGAAAATCACATTAATGAATTTATGATTTTATAATGAAATACTTAGATTTATATATCCAAGTTATAAAATTAGGAACTATATCCTAAAATAGGGTTTTCAGCTTTTACACTTTTTTTTCCATGAAGTTAAAAGCCTGTTGAGTGCTCTTTATCAGGCTGGAAAAGAAAACTTTGTTCTTGGGGAGGGACATAATCAGACTAAGATTTGTTTTAAAGCAATAGAACAGAAAAACCAACTATAGAAATTACTTCATACTAAGCATATTACTTAGTGTGTGTGTGAGAGAGAGTCAAACCAAACCCTTAAATATAGGTATAATTGCCCTAAAGAAAAAAAGACAAAAAACTCCTCAGTAAAATCTTAGCAAACCAAGGCCCTCCCTGGTGGCGCAGCGGGTTAAAGCACAGCACTAAGAAGCTAAAGCCACTTCAGCAGGAGTTCAATCCCCACCCCGGAGATGACCCACAAGGTGCAGCAGCCCTCTCCTGGCCCACCCGCCACTCCCCTCAGCAGTATACTTTATCAGTTGGCCTGTTCTGCTCCCCACTGTGTCTCTGGCGAATCCTCCCACTGTCCCTGCACACTGGCCTATACCCCTGTTTTGTATGCATAAATAAATAAATTTAAAAAACAAAAGAAAATCTTAGTAAAACAAACCCAACAAAGCATTTAAAAAGGACTATAAACCGGGACCAAATAGGATTTATACCAGGGACAAAGGGATGGTCCATCCAAATCTCAACATAATTCAACATATCAATAAAAAGATTAAACCACATATGGTCAACTGATGCCAAGAAAGCATTTTATAATATTCAACATCTATTTTTGATGAGAATCCTCAACCTGAGGATTTATGAGACATAACATAATAAAAGCCATTCTTTGAAAAACCCAAACTAACATAATTCTCAATGGTGAACAACTGAAAGCTTTCCAGAAAAAAACTGGTACAAAACAAGGATATCTACTCTTATTACTACTCTTGAATACAGAAGTGCAAGTCCTACCTTAAATAATTAGGCAAGGATAGAAAAGGAATCCAAATCAGGAAAGAAGTAAAGCTATCTTTATTTGCAGATAATTAATTCAAAGACGCCTTAAGACTCCTCTTAAAAGCTAATTAAGGGCACTCCCTGGTGGCTCAGCGGGTTAAAGCACAGCACTGAGAAGCTAAAGCCACCTCCACATGAGTTCGATTCCTGCTTGCCCCGGAGGTGACCACATGGTGTGGCAGACCTCTCCTGACCCACCCGCTGCTCCCCTCAGCAGTGTACTTCGTAGATCTGCCTGTTCTGCTCCCTACTCTGTCTCTGGTGAATCTTCTCACCGCCTCTAAACCTCTGGCCTGTACCCCAGTTCTGTATGCACAAATAAATCTTAAAAAAAAAAAAAAAAAGCTAATTAAGCCAATAAAGCCAGTTCAGCAAGCTGGCAGGTTATAGAATACAAAAATTAGTTGCCTTCCTATAAGACAAAGAATGAAAAGAGGAAGAAACTAAGAAAATGATCTCATTTACAATCTCATACATACACACAAAAATATACTTGAGTAAACCTAACAAAGTAGGCAAATGAGATCTACACTAGAGAAAACTATAAAACATTATTAACATAGAAGACACACAAAAAAGATATTCCCTATTCATGGGCTGGGAGAATCAACACTGTCAAAATGATCATCATATAGGATGTCTACTCTTATCACTCACTACTACTGAATGTAGACTTGCAAGTCCTACCTTGAATAATTAGGCAAGGATATAAAAGGAATCCACTTTTCATTCTTTTGTCTATAAGAAGGCAACTGATTTTTGTATTCATTGTATTCCTATCAAAATTTAAGTGGCATTCTTCAAAATGATGTAATAAACATTGCTGAAATTCATATAGAACCATAAGACATGGAAATAGCTAAAGCAATCCATACAAAAAAAAAAGGAATGGCAATTTTATACTTCTTGACTTTAATCTCCTAGGCATCTACCCAAAGAATATAAAAATACAATGCTAAATGCCCCAAACAAATGAGTGGATCAAGAAGATGTGGTGTGTGTGTGCGTGTGTGTGTGTACAATGAAATACTTAACAATCAAAAAAGATACACTTAAGCCTTTGGAACAACATGGATTGAGCTGGAAGGTATAACTTTAGAAAAACAAGCTGTAAGGAGAAAGAAAAATACTGGATGGGGTCCCTTAAATGTGGTTATGTAACAGGGTGGCCCCAGGGAAAGGGAAAGTTTGGGGTGGGACACAGAACGTAGAACATCCCCTTTTCTTGGGGACCACCCTGTTAAGAGTTATAAAGAACCCTAACGTGGGGTCAAAGACAAACTTTAAATCAGTCATTGAATTTGACCATAGAACAAAGAGATATCCAGAAGGGCAGTGGTAAAAACAGGATAGGTAGGGCGAAAGCACAAATGGCAGTTGTGGAGGACAATGAGTGTTTTGTTTGTGGGTGCCCTATGGTGACAACACCTAAGTGGGGAGAAGCTAAACTTCCAAAATCCTAGCAATGATTTAAATCAATGGTAATTCAATAATTTTTTAATAACATGGTCATAATGTAAAGTTAGAAATCAAAGTTAGGGTTCATGATTTGCATCACTCAATATATTTTTTTTCTTTCTATTTTGGCTATTTCTCAAATTTCCTATGAATATAATGGCTTATATCTTGTCAAGTGTTAAAGATAACTCCCTTAGCCCAGGTCACCTAATAAATTATGCAAATCAATGGGACAGGGTCAGCACTCTACAATTGAACAATCCCTCCAGTTGTATTTAATGCATGATTACCAAAATAGTTTTGAATGAACTAATACTTGGGAACCTTGAATGTAGATGATAAAACATTAGCTGAAAGATTTTTTTTTTTTTTTAAAGATTTATCCATTTATTCACTTAGAGCTGGGGTACAGGCCAGAGATGCGGAGGGCGAAGGGACCCACCAGAGGGAGAGGGGAGCAGAACAGGCAGATCTACGAAGTACACCGCTGAGGGGAGCGTTGGGCGGGCCAGGAGAGGTCTGCCACGCCACGTGGTCACCTCCGGGGCAGGCTGGATCGAACTCATGAGGAAGCGGCCTAAGCCTCCCAGTGCTATGCCCCAACCCGCTGCGCCACCAGGGAGGGCCCAAGCTGAAAGATTTTATGAAGATGAATGGGCACAAGTTTTTAACATTTTTTCTACTTTTCATTATAGAAAATTTCTAATGTAAGTGTAACAAATGTAAAACTTTGTAAAATCACTCAAAGGATAGTTTATCTAGTTGAGAACCAGGAAAGTTTCAGACTATGTTAAGGAAAAACACTATCATAACCATACAAAATTCCTATCCTATTTGAATTAATTTTTTTGGTCAGACTTAAGAATTCAGTTAAATGACTCTATGATGTGTTAGTTGTATTCCAGTTAGTCAGCATTAACTGTCACACTCTAGGAGGGAAGGATGAAAACTAAAATCAATATACTGGATTTGACAGAGCACCATAGTTTTAATTAAAAGGCTGAGTATAAGATGTTCTACTGTAAATCAAGTTTCTAACTGGACATCATCAACATGGCAGCAAAGAAATGCTAGGATCAAGTTCTCCCATAAAAACAACTGATAGGGAAAAGTAACAGCAAGTTCCTGGGAGGACCCAACCAAACATATTAGACAAACTGGGCAATAGCAGTGATTTTCACAGACATAGAGAAAAATTGGAATGACAGAAGAAGAGAGGAGAGAACTCTTCTCTCCCCCATCCACAAAGCCAGCCCACATCATCAAGCAGAAAACCAGAAAAGGCCTGGAGACCAGATGCCAGGAGAATAACGAGACATCTGAGAGCTCCAGATAAAGACAAACAGGGCCTCAGCAGAGGCACACAGTGCTGCGTGTGGGTGTGAGCCCCTTTGTTGTGGCGCCTTCCCTCCCTCCCTCATCCTGGGGGACCAATGGGACCATTTAACTGGTTGCACTTACCGCCAGGAAAGACATTGGAGAGCCTCCTAGGCTGTTCCCTACATCAGGGCCTCTTGGTAACCCAAGCCCTCAGAAGCAAGGTGGCCTCAGGAGCCCCATCACCCACCCCAACTACCTCAGAGGCCCAGGAAGAGTGCTGATCCTCCCAAAACCACAGCTGAAGTCCAACCTACATCCTTTGTGCATTTTTAATATTCCCTCTACACAATACACGGGCGATAAGGGAGACAGCTGGTGCTGAGAAGACTATATACTACTTACTCCTGTGACCCTCCCCAGCAGACCATACTAAAACGAAAATGACTAGCTGACTGGGAGCCATCAGAGTTCTGAGAAGCATTTTTCCATCTGTTTGGAATGTCTGTTTTCCTTTCTGTCTTCTCTGTTTTTCATTCCTCTATTTTTCTTTTCTCCCCTTTTCCTTACCATTATTACTCTCTCTTCTTGTCTATTACATTCCTTCATATTCCTCCTCCTCATACCTCTTCCCCCACCCAGCCCTTTTTTTCTTCTCTCACCTTTGTTCCCTTTAGATTTCTGTACCATACTCCTTTTCCCTCTTATCCCTCTATCACTCCTTATTCTCTTTCAATCTTTGTATTCTTCTGAGACACACCTAGCGGGACCTAGAAGTTCAACAGAAAACAAATCCCACTCTGCCTGCAAGCACCACGCAACAGTCTTGGCTTCAGCATGTGTCTGGAGATGCAATGCTCCATAAGAGATCCTCTATTACCACTAGCTAAGATATCAAGTCCCAGACCTATGTAGTGGGGACAGGAAAAGAAGAGGTTCCTGGAGAAAATCACAGCTCAGAACA